GTGAAATAAGCCAAGCACAGAGAAACAAGTATCTCATGTTCTCATTCATGTGTGGGAGACAAAAAATTGAACTTAAGGAGATGGAGAATAGAATGACAGGTTACTAGAGGCTGGGAAGAGTTAGTAGATGGGTACAAAAATATAGTGAAAATGAATAAGATCTAGTATTCAGTAGCACAGTAGGGTGACTATAGTTAACAATAATTCATTTTATATTTAAAAATAGCTAAATGATTGGAAAATTGGAATACTCCTAACATAAAGAAATAAGTACTTGAGGGGATGGATACCCAGTTGCTCTGATTTGGTCATTGCACATTATTTGCCTGTATCAAAATACCATGTGCGCCCCACAAATGTATACAACTATTATGCACACATAATGATTAACAAATTGATTTGAAAAACCAAAAAGAAACCTACACATATTTGGACAAAAAAACTAAGGTACTTGAGACATTTGCTTTGAATGGTATTGACTTTTAAAACTTATTAGTCCTAGGCTGAGCGCCCATAGCTAAGTGGTTAGGGTGCCAGCCACATACACCAGGGCTGGCAGGTTTAGCTGGCCTGCTAAACAACAATGACAACTACAACTACAACAACCAAAATAACTGGGTGTCGTGGTGGGTGCCTGTAGTCCCCAGCTACTTGGGAGGCTGAAGCAAGAGAATCGTTAAGCCCAAGAGTTTGAGGTTGCTGTGAGCTGTGATATCACAGCACTCTACCAAGGGTGACATAGTGACACTCTGGTAGCTGTCCTATTAACACAGTGGTCAGATGCATAATAAGTGGTGTAGAGCACTATCTCCTCTTGTGACAGTTATTATGCAGTTTTTATATAGCCAAAAACTTATTTTTTAGTTCATCAGAAACAAAAACATCAAAAACTTATTTTTTAGTTCATTAGAAATCATAGTGATTTTATGAAATATGTTTTCCATGAACGGAAACAGAATGCCAAAAGAACTGAATGAGCATTCATGGTCTTTTAAATGTCTAGCACTAGCAAATAACCTATTTGAGAGGCAAGATAAGGAAAGAGTACTGTATTCAGAGTTCAGAGGACTAGAGTTAAGTCAGGAGCTCTGTGACCCTGAGCAATGTGCTCTACCCCTAAAAATGGGAATAATGATGCTTTCCTGCCACGCAGGAGGCTTGCTTGAGACAATAGATGTAAAAATGTTCTGTGACATACATTAGAAAACTAAAAATGATTATTCTTGTTGAAGAATCAAGCAATATACCAGTAGGTAGACTAATGAATATAAGCGTATCAAAGGGTTAGGTTCTAAATTTAGGGCATAAGGTAAAAAATGACATACAGTCAAAATTATTCTTGAAACTCTTTAAATTGATGGAAGGAATAATACATATTATTTTGTGCATAGTAATACACTGCATATATACAGGGAATACATCCAAAATGATTCATAATACAGATACATATTTTTAAGTTAAATATGCCTTAGACAACTCTGTATTGTAACAATCAGGAATAAGAGAACCTATGAAAACAATACACACGGACATAGCAGAACTCTGGACACAGCACTGGGAAAAACAGAGTCAGCAAAATGGTAGCAGCAGTTTTTGGTAAGAAAAGATGCAACATTTTAAAATTTGAATCCTTCCCTTTGACCTTTAATTCTCCAGGTATTCACCACTCATTGTTGCTTTACACTCATTTATTCCACATGAATCTGCTTAGGGTCTTTGAAAAATTTTAACACTGCATCTTTGACCCCAAGTTTATCCAAAGAAAGGTAGGTATAGTTCAGGAAATTAATCTTGAGATTGAATAAGTGATACATATGGATTGGGAATAGTGTTTGAGAAGTCATGCCAGGTTGAAGGACTGGAAAGGAAATAGGAAAGTGTTTGTAAAACAAAGATTATGAGTTTAATTTGAGGGAGCTGGGGGCAGACTGGCCAGAGTTAACAGCTGGGAACCCTGGAGCGCCCCCCCCGCCCCCCCGGGATCATTTTTCTTTGGTGCCCGATATTCTGGGTTTTAGCACAGCTTATCATTCTTCCTGGGAGTGTTTGTTCTGCCTGCCACCTCCTGTGGGCTCCAGATGCAGTCATACTAACCTAGACCTTGATCCTCACTTGGGAGTATTTCTCAGACATTCTCTGGAACTATTCTCTAGTCCCTTTCCTGACATACCACATCCAGGTTCTCTTCATCTGTTTTACACATGACCTAAAGAGATGTCTTCCCCCAAAACACTTCTTTCAGCAACTCACTTTCTTATTCAAAAAAATTGGGTGAGCCTTCAATAGGTATGAGCCAGGGCACCCAACTGAGATAATTAGCTTTTTAAACAGTAATTTAAATTACTATCCTATTTACTCTGTCACAGATGGAAATTAAAACTGAAGACAAATTTTAAAGATATGGAATCACCAGGTCCAGTTCTTATCCTTTCCATTGCATTTAAAAAATGTGAAAGAACTCTGTACACACACAGACCTGCCCT